AAGAAGAGGAGGAGGAGGAGGAGGAGGAGGAGGAGGAGAAGGAGGAGGAGATGATAATGATGATGATCACTTCGAACTCTCCAAACGATAGTAACAACATCATCAATAGCACCACCATCAACACCAATGGAAGCTTCACCAGTCTAAGATTAGTATTAGAACGAACTGCAACTCTATCTTTACAACGTTTGCTAAAAATTATCCCGGTAATTTCCCCTCAATCTTTAGCGCAATGACGTCGACTGCTTCAAAGCAATAATAAATAGTAACGACAGTAGTTCCTCTGTAGATTCACCTCCGCGACCTGCGTCATAGTAGGAGATTATTAAAGAAACTGCGTCATTGTTTGGTAAAAAAGGAGAAAGAGAGAGAGAGAGAGAGAGAGAGAGAGAGAGAGAGAGAGAGAGAGAGAAAGAGGGAGAGAGGGAGGAAGAAAGAGAGAGAGAAAAGATATAGAGAGAGTGTGTGAGCGTGTGTGTGTGTGAGAGAGTGTGTGTGTGTATGTTGGTTTGTCTGTTTGTCTGTTTGTCTGTCTGTGTGTTTACTGGCGTCAGGGGTGGTCAGTGTCGGCTTGAGTTTGGCGTCATTGACCTTGACCATCAATAATTTATTTATAGAAACACCAGCCATCCATGTCCAGGTGCTGCTTTAGCCTCTTTTCCCGGTCACTGTCAGTGGATTAATTAATGTTCTGTTTCCTATTTGGTTCCCCTTCCATGCACCCTGTATCTATGGCTTTCAAAGCTTGGCGTCCTTTCGTTTGACTTGATAGAGTCGTAGTCTGGACTTCCGGGAAACCATGATAGTGTATACCCACGCGCACAAAATGACGCCAGTTGTTGGTGTTGTTGCTGTCGATGTTGCTGTTGTTTTTGTTGTTGTTGCTGCTGCTGTTATTATTGGTGTTGTTGCTGTCTATATTGCTGTTATTTTTGTTGTTGTTGTTGTTGTTGTTGTTTTGTTGTTGTTGTCGATGTCGTTGTTGTTGCCGTTGTTGTTGCCGTTGTTGTTGTTTGTTGTTTCTGTTGTTATTGTTGTTGTTATTCTCATTGTTGTTGTTGTTGCTGTTGTTGTTATTGTTGTTGTTATTGTTGTTGCTGCTGTTGTCGCTGTCGTTGTTAATGTTGTTTTTGTTTTGTTTTTTTGAACATGACATGGTGTTGATATCGTTGCTTCTGGGGTTGTTGTTGTTTTTTCGGACAACCTCTGATACATTTTCTGACAGTTCTTTAGTTATCTTGACTGTTGATGTAGGAGGAGAACTGTGCCGACCTTTAGGTGAACATTTCATTTTATACTGATGGCCGTAACATGAAAAGTTCTTGTAACCACAACGACATTTCAGCATAAAGCACCAATATATTCTAACTCCCACTATTGTGTTTATCTACTTCTCAATGTAATCCCCGTGAAGATCGATGCATGTTTGCCTTCTGGGCACGCGAGATAGAATATACACTCTCCCTTAATGAAGTCCCATTCAGAGATTGCAAACAATTCTTCCCGTCTTCAATGAGGTCTTCTTCAGTAAAGCTTTGTCCTGACAGATCGCTACCACAGAATTACAAAGTTCTATTTGCTCAGTACATAGTTTTGAGAAATTTGACGTCACAGATTCTGAGTTTCACGTCACTTAAAGCTTTTTCGAATGCAATTCTTTGTTTATCTTGATCATGACTCTAAAAAATCTTATGTTTTCGATAGAACAGAGAGAACATTTAGTTTTCTGATCTCATGGTCATAGCAACTCCAAAAGGTCAAAAATGTCAAATAGAACTATGTAGTTCTGAGGTAACGAGATGTCGTATAAAGGGTCCAGATAGGCGATGGTCTGAAGGAGCAAGGTCTGGACTGTACGGTGGGTGTGGTAGAACCTCTATTGTGTATTTTCAGAACTAATACTTCGTCAATTTTCTGTCTGCAGTATTACACTGTAGTGCTGAAAGTGAAAGATGGTGCCCTCCTAATCTTTTATGATGCAGGGCGTTTCTTAACTCTTTGTGATCAGGGCTCGCAGCTGGCCATTCGACAATGCTAGAAGATGGGAAGTTTTGGAATATGACTTCATTATTTGTAAAAGCTTTCAGTTCAGTTTTCTTTATATTTAACTTAAAAAGGCAGGCATGTTATGACATGTTATGCATGTGTATAATTCTGGTTTGTGCATAATGTTTTAAAATGGTCGCTTTTAAGCACAAGGGGCTATCCCGCAAAATGCTGTTTTGAGAAAATCGAAAGTAAAGTTTTTGGACCCTTAGTTTCTTTAAAAGACAAGGAGAGTTTTCTCTATAACTATAACCAGACAAATATACACACCAATGAAACTTAACTTCTCCTACAGTCCTATAGGTAGGGCAATGCCCTCTTTTGGGGTCAGTCAAGATTTCGGAAAAACCCCGAAATCTGTGTTAGTGTAGCCAGCTTGTCCGTAAAAGCGACCAAATGTGCCACAGCATTTATGCTTTTCTCTACTAACGCTCTGACATAATTTATGTGTGTCCTCTACGTCCTTTGCGTATCACAATCGTCATACAGTCAGTTGTTTTGGCACCCAGCGAATCGAAACTTAACGCTACCCAATATCACCTCACACAATTCTAGGAACAATAGCTTACGGGAAGTGAAGATGATCAGACAAATAATATAACGTTCAACTGCCCCCC